TTTCTGTAACTAATAATAGTGATATCAATGGTAATAACAAAGTAGCTCTGCTGCCCTGAGGCCCGGGCAAGGCTCTCAGAGTCCCCCTCTGTCTGTTTCCTTATCTATAAGTAGAGGCAGCGGGGACGCTTGCTCCAACCCAAGGTCGGGGTAAAATGAAGTGATCCACGTGACTTGCTAAGATTGGAGCTTGGCACATTTTACCTGTTACAGGGAAGAAAAAACAGACCAGGGATGAGAAGGGCCTTGCCTGAGGGTCACACGGCCAACTTGGACTATAGACCTAAAAATGGTCCTTAACTGCTAACATTTAAATGCAGTTGAGGGGCTGGAGAGATTGCTCAGTGGTTAAAGTGCTTGTCTGAGTGCAGTTCCCAGCACCCACATGGTGGCTCACAGCTTCAGGGGATGGAACTGTCTGTCTTCTGCACTCATGTACAAATCTTTCTCTCTTTCTCTCTCTCTCTCTCTCTCTCTCTCTCTCTCTCTCTCTCACACACACACACACACACACACACAAACACTAAACTAAATACACTGAACAAAACATACTACGCAAAAAACAAAAACAAAAACAAAAACACTGGAACCTTGCCGACCAGACTTACCCTCTGTTCCCCAGGCCCAGAGGCACCAAATTCTATTGGTAGACTCTTGAGCAAAGGGATGAATTCAAAGATTCTGAGTTTCCTGGAACATCCTAGATGAGAAGCTAGAAGGTCTTGGCTCAGAGGAGGCTGACCAGCAGCTGCCCTGGTCACGTGGGCTTGTGTTTCCGGTTCCACAGTCCCTACTCCTCCCTATGACCCTTTGTCTGGCTCGGTTCCCTCCCGCTTCCGGAGGCACAGACAGCGGTTGTTTGAGAAGAAGTAGCAAGCTCACTGCATACATCACTCCCTGCACACACTCATTTGCCAGTGCACAGGTGGGGTCATCCACCCAGACAGCAGGTAACTGAGTCCGGTTTCCTTAAGGGACAGTTGGCCTAGACCCAGTGCCAAACTTTGCCCTTAACCAGTGTTCCTCCCCCAGCTCCCAAGTTCAAGGCTAACCCTGTCTACATGGGGAGGGAAGGGCCCACTCATGGCTACTTCTTGCGCTTAGAGACTCTTGGGACTAAATCTGAGGACAGAACAGCTAATGGCTCTGAAGGGGAAGTCCTGGTCTGGAGAACAACAGGAAGTTGCTTCTGCATCCTTCTGCCCCACTTTGACTCGCCATACCCTGAAGTAAACGCAGCGAGAGGCAGGGAGCGCTGAGGCCCATAGTACTCTTGGCCCCCGGGACGCGACAGCCCCCATCCATCCTGACACCAAAACGAGGGACAGCTTCCCTGCCCTGAGTTGGAGGTCAGCGGAGGGAAAGCTCCCTCCTCCTCCAGGGCTGTCAGCTTGGAAACCAGCTTTCCAGGCACAAACTTTATTCTCGGGACAAGCCTGAGCCCGAAATGCTTTCGTGAATGCTGAAGGGACACTGGACAAGGTTCCCCTCCCACTGTGGCCTGCAGGGAACAAGCTGAGCCCTGGCATGGAACCGCTAGGTATTGCCTGTGGCCCCAGCTAAAGGAGGGGAATGGCTCTGTTAACCACTGTGTAGTCCCGAGTCAGTGCGGGGCTAACTGCTTTGCATAGATCAAGCCAGGACTGGATCCTAGAAGCAGGTGGAGAAGGGAAGATGCAAGTCAGTTGTCCAAGGTCATGTCATGGCTAGGAAGTGTCAGAGACAAGACTCAAGTCCATGAATCAGCAGCAAGTTCCCACTGCAAAAGCCTCACTGTAAGCACCCAGCTGCCCCCGCTGGGGGGCGAGGGCACGTCTGCATTCTTCTGCAAGAAGGGTGTGTGATGGTCTTGTGTTTTGCCTTTAATAAAACTTGAATTTTAAAGGCTAATCCTTGTCTCCTTCCCTCCAGCCTCCAGGCCCCATAAGTTCAAGATGAAGTGCATTTACCCTGGTGGCCAGGGTCTAGGGTGGAGCAAGGAGGAAACATCACCCCTACTGATGCAATCAGAATTAGTCTGGTGCAAGTTTGAGGCCAACATCTCCACACAGTGTGTTCCAGATCAGCCAGGGCTATGTAGGGAAACCCTGTCTCAGTAAAATTAAAAAGAAAGAAATAATAATTTCATGACATTTCTATACGTGCATTGTTCCTCCTGGTCATTAACCAATGTGTATTAAGATCTACTTAGTGTCAACCCGGTGTGAAGAGCGGGGAGTACAGGAGAGCAGCCCGAGGGAGATGAAAATTAAACACACATGGGAGTGCATGAACACACAGATACACATGCACACAAATGTACATACACACAGGTGAATACATGCATATAGCTGCACATAGCACACACACATACACACATATGCACACTAATGTACATACACACAGGTACATACATGCATATAGATGCACGTAGCATACACACATACACACATATGCACACAAACGTACATACACACAGGTGCATACATGCATATAGATTCACATAGCACACACACAGCACACATACATCCAAACATATGCACACAGATGTGCATATACATCCAAACACAGGCACACACATACAAACATGTGTACAAACACACATGCATGTGCGCGCACACACACACACTAAATAAATAAATGCAATAAAATTTAAATGATAGTTTTCCTCTCTTCCCAGAATCTAGAAAGCAAGGGGTAAATCAGGGCACCGTGAACGTGACATCTTGGTAGCATGGGTGTTCTCCTTTACAAGGTGCCTGGGCATAGCTTCTGCCCATCTTTAGGTTGTTTTTTAGAAACAAGATGGGTGTTGGATGTACGAGTAGCCAAAAACCTCTCCCACTCAGACTCATTTCCCATGTTCTCCCCGGTGTTTGCTGGGGGGCAGAGACTTCCCATTTTCAGGTGGTCCATCTGACCTTTCCTTCCTCCCTGCTCAGCACCACTGACGCTGGCTAGGGTCACCTATCCCTGAAGCCGTGAAGACATCTCCTTTATCATCTCCTGGGAATGTATTGTTCCAAATAACTGGGTCCACGATAAGTCTGGGAACTTCAGATAGAATTGTAAGAGTGTTTTAGAGATTTCCATGTAGGAAATGGACTGGGAACCATTTGTTGAACAACGTGGCTGAACTTGTTTGTGCCCCATCCACTTTAATCCAACAGTAAGATAGCTCACCAGTGGGCACTGTTTTCTCTGCCTACTGACTTTCCCCTTGGGTTTTCCTCCCTGGGTTGCCTGGGTAAGAGAAAGCCAGGTAGGACCCTATTCTGCTGGTTTGCGTCAAGCCAGCAACGTTCATGTCTGCGCTTTTGATCACTGTGGGGTACATAACTTGTGAGATTGTGAGATCACGGCTTCAGCACATTGGGCTGTGTTGTGACACAAAGGCCTAGTGCTAGGTGTTGTCTACACACACACACACACACACACACACCCTGTGTTGTGTAGACTCCATGGATATGTAGGAAGTGGAGGAGACATGAGCTTTGAATTGAGTGGCAGCAGAGGCTCTGTTTTTGTTCCTATGCTAAGGTGCATGACCTGCAGGTCGTCAGTTCTGATCTCATCCATGGCAAGTCACCATGGGTGACTTTCCTATCTGCTGAGACACTCGAGCATGCAGTGTGTGTGATTACCAAAGCCCCAAACAGTGAGAAGTAAAACACTCTCACATCTTACCAAAGACCGTGGTCCGCGGGGAGCAAAAGATAGATTCAAATGGAGGCAAAGATGAAGCTCTTGGGAGATATACTGACTGAAGAGGAACGAGTCTTACTACACAGTGTGCAATAACACAGAGCTGACTGATTTAACATGAAATGATGGTGCCATGAACCCATGTGTATGCCAGGGATGGGGTGGTGAATGAGTTTCACTGCTCCCACCAATGCTGGGGACTTGGGTTACTCAATACACACATACACACACACACACATGCATGCACGCGTACACACACTCATAAAGTTGAAGTACTGGGTCATCAGCTGACTCACATGTTAGAGTCTTCACAAAGTTTTGAGACAGTCAGCATTCTCCTATTGTGGCTTTGCCATCTCCTCCAGGCACAACGTGACCCCCAGCTACTATGGGACAGAACTTGCTATGGTGACCTATAGGCTACAAGGGCCCTGTAGTCCTGATGATGAAATAAGCAAACAGTATCAAGATCTCTGCGTCCATGGTAATGGTGAGCATCTTCTGTAGGAGAGGGGAGACCTCAGTGGAGATCCCAGCCACCCACTCCCACTGTACCCAGCTACCTGTGATCTTGGGATACTAGAGTGTATAGAAGGCAAAAACTGACTGAAGGTTGGGACTCCACGTTTGAGAGCTTGTCACCTACGTTGGGGTGGGACACTGAAGTAAGGAAGGGGCTTTTGAGTCACCCACGCTTCCTAAGGAACCCAGGTTCACCAAGTCAGACTTCGGTGGGATCGCTGGCTGTCTGGAGTCTGATCTGGGCATACCTGAAAATTAACATATTACCCTATTACACGAAATTATAAGGAATGCTGAAATTCTTTTCTTTCCCTAAGTTGTGGTTAAGAAACAGTCTAAAAAAAAAAAAAAAAAAAAAAAAAGACCAATCAACAGCCTGCATGTATCCAAGCCTTCATAGTCTTTTTTGTAACAGTGTTACAAAGGGAGCAGACTGCAGACAAAACAATCAGTCTCCACACACTGGTTATCAGTAGTTAACAAAGGGGGACCAGACTGCAGACAAAACAGTTTCCAAGCTCTAGTTACCTGTAGTTAGCAAAGGAGGACCAGACTGCAGACAAAACAAACAGTCTCCACTTGCTGGTTACCGGTAGTTAACAATGGGGGCAGACCGCAGACAAAACAAACAGGATCCACACGCTTGTTACCAGCAGTTAACAAAGGGGGTCTTGCAGATTTTGTGACCCCGCGTGTCTCTGGTTCCTTAAGTCGGCCACTGCTGTGGCTCCTTCTCTAACTTGGAATATTCACTTTTAACCTGAAGATTATTTTTAGTCCATAAATATTTCCCAAAGTAGTTGACAAAACAGCCGTAGCTCTGAAGACCAGCTAGCTACCCACTCTTCCCCACTTACCCTCACCCACAGGACCCTGCCAGGCTGGCCTCAGACTTCAGATCCACCCGCTCAGACTCTCCAGTGTTGGGACAACAGGTGTGTGCCAGCACAACTGGCTGAAAACCAAAGAAGTCCCACCAGTGTGGCTGCCTAGCCATGAGCCAGCAAGGCTGGCAATAGACATGCTAACATGGACTGGAGTGTGGGCAAGTGAGGATGACCATTGGTCTTCCCCAGGTGAGTGGACTCATGGCCAATGGCCAATAGAGCGAGTCCCCCTTATGTACTTTAGAATCTCTCTTCTCCAAGCTTTGCCTGGCTTCCAGCATGTAAGAGCAGCTCCATGAACAGCCACATCCCTATGCCTCTCATTTTGCCTCTTTGTATCCTAGGCTAGCTGCCTCAGACTTACAAGGAGTCTGAGTGCTAGGATTACACACACTACAGCAGTTGGATTCTACCAGGGTTCTGTGGGTTTGAACCCAGGGCCTCACACTTGCATGGCAGGCGTCTTTACCCACCAAGTCTTAAGTGTTTTGCGCGTTGGATGTTGATCACTGGAGCTTGCGGGAGGTATAGGAGCTAATCCTTGAAGAAAGCCTGGCCCATCCTGAGCGTGAGTGCTGGCTGTGGAGCGACTGTGCCGTCCTGATGCGACAGCTGCAGAGAACGGGCTCCTTCTCCAGGTCTTCCTCTAGGAAAGGCGACTGAGCAGAACCTGTGCATCTTCTCCAGACCAGCCTTCCAGAAACCAGGAACAGCAATGTCATGGGTGGGTACAGAGTGGCATCTAGTGGTTTGGAGGGGAAATGGGTGAGATTGTCCCAGTGACGTGGAGGATGTTTAAAGGCTTGGCTGTGGTGTGTGGAGAGGCCATGAAGGTGGCAGGTGTGAGCTGTAGTTGGTCAAGCGCCCACTGTGCAAGTACGGAGACCCAGGTCTGAATCTACAGAGTTCATGTAACAGTGGGGGGGCATGGCAGCGTGCATCTGTAACCATGGCTCTAGACACATGTACATAAGGGCAATCGTAAATGTGTGTGTGTAACAATAAAGAAAAAGAGGGCATGAATTTGAGGAGCGGAGGGAATGATGTAAAGACAGCACTCATATACAAAATTCTCAAAGAAATGGGAAATCAGTCATGCAGCAAACCTTACACACTTCATCTTAGTGTGGGTGAGATTGTTTGGGACATCCTGAAAGGAGTGTTTAAGGGCTCAAACTTCCATTCACCTGGAAGACTTCTTATTCTGATTTTTATGAGCTTCTCCATCATCAGTGTTTTCCTAGTCTCCAAAGTGACTTCTGAATCTTCAAAGTCACTTTCTGGGGCTCAGCATCTTCTCTTTCATCTAAGAGGAGGGTGAGACACACTGCTACAGTTATGGTTTCTATTGCTACAAAGAAACCTCGTGACCAAAAAGCTAGTTGGGTAGGAAAGCTTGTACCTCTACATTGCTATTCACTAGCAAAGGAAGTCAAGGCAAGAACTCCAGCAGGACAGGAGCCTGGAGGCAGGAGCTGATGCAGAGGCCATGGAGGGTGCTGCTTACTGGCTTGCTTCCTATGGCTTGCTCAGCCTACTTTTTTTTTTTTTCATCTTTCAAAACAGGTTTTTTTTTTTTTTTCTCTGTGTAGCTTTGGAGCCTGTCCTGGCATTTGCTCTGCAGACCAGGCTGGCCTCAAACTCACAGAGATTCTCTTGCCTCTGACTCTCAAATGCTGAGATTAAAGGCGTGCGCTACCACCGCCCTGCTCAGACTATTTTCTTATAGCAGCCAGGACTACCAACCCAGGGATGGCACCACTCACAATGGCCTGGGCCTTCCCCACTGAAAACTGAGAAAATGCTCTATAGATGGATCTCATGGAAACATTTCCTCAACTGAGGCTCCTTCCTCTCTGGTGACTCTAACTTGTGTCAACTTGACACTCAAATGTATCACTATTAAACCACAACCCTTCCTTTCTTATGCATCCCCAAGATCTCACATTAAAAAATGTAGATAACTTTAAAAGTCCCATGGTCTTTACAAATTCAAACACATTACATATTAAAAATTCAGACCCTTTAAAATAGCCAAATCTTTTTTAAAATCCAAAGTCTCGCAACTATGGGCTCTGGTAAAATGTTTTCTTACTTCAAGAGGGAAAACTCTGGGCACAATCACAAGCGAATAAAATCAAACCAAATTCCAACAGTCCAGTGGCTGGGATCCACTCACGATCTTCTGGGCTCCTCCAAAGGACTTGGGTCACTTCTCTGTCTCTGCCCTCTGCAGCACACAGCTTGTCTTTAGGTTCCAGCTGGCTCTGCTCAACCGCTGCTGCTGGCGTCTCCAAAATCCTGGGGTCTCTGCTGCAACTGGGCCGCACTTTCACCAACAGCCTCTCCTGGGCGCTCCTCATGATGCCAAGACTCAACTTTTCATGATTCCTTCACTCCTGGCATTCCACAGTGCAAAGCCTCAGCTGCTCTCTGTGACCTCTTCAGGCCTTCAAAGTCAGTACCCCCTGGGTGACTCCTACACCACCAAGTTCAGCTGCCAGCATAAGGTGTAACCTTGGCTGCCTCTGGACCCCAGCTTCATGTGCGGACTCTTGGGAAACACCCGATGATGTCTCCTCAGTGATGTTAACTTAGTCACTGCTGAGCAGTGGCCATTGTCCCAGGAGAGCAAAGGTGTCACTTCAGTAGTTCTGATGTCTTGTTAATCACAGCTGAGAATGACAGAATCTTAAATCAAAGAAACAAATGACCCTCAGAGAGTCTTTAAACTTACCTCTGAAACTTCATGAGCCGGACCTCCATTGTCTGCGCTGCTCTAAACAGTCTCATTTCCAAGCTCCTACAGAACAGCTCACTGAACTCTTAGCACTCAATGGCTTTGCTGGTTCAAAGCTCTAAAATCCTTCCACGGTCCTCCCTAAAACATGGTCAGAACTGTCGCAGTAATACCTCATTCCTACTACCAACTGTCTTAGGGTTTTTATTGCTGCAAAGACACTCCGTGACCAAAAAGCAAGTTGGGGAGGAAAGGGTTTATTCAGCTAACACTTCTGCATTGCTGTTCATCACCACTCATAACTAATTGAGAAAATGCTCTATAGATGGATCTGATGGAGGAATTCCCTCAACTGAGGCGCCTTCCTCTCTGATGGCTCTAGACTGGGTCAAGTTGACAAACAAAACCAGTCAGTTATAGGCCCCTTAGCGGGCTGGAAAGTTCTTGGCTATCATGGCCTCCTGGATAATCCCACAGGTCTGCTTCAGCTTCTGTGGTCCCAGAGGGTGACTCAGAGCATGGAGGTGGCAGACAAAGCCATAGGAACAGAAACTGACCTGGAATCACCCCACCCACCCACACACACACAGGGCAGATGTATAATAGCCACAACGGCAGCACCGACGGGCCCACATCCCCTCTGCAGCTGGGTCTCCTTTTATTTTGTGGTGTGTGTACTTGCTGTGGCCAGAGGTGGATGCCAGGTGTCTACAACTGCTTCTCTCCTGTTTTGAGACAGTCTCTCTCTGAACCTGGAGTTCACGGCTTTGACTAGGCTGGCTGGGCAGTGAGCCCCCATAGCTGTGTAAATATGGGCAGGTTCTGTGTATCCCCGTTGATTACTGCCTTCCTGTGCTTCCCGCCCGCTCACCCTTTCCCAGATCAGGTCGACCCACCCGTGCCTCCTTTCTGCTTTCTCCCGGGAATCTGATTTGTTTATTCTATCTATGTACCCTGGGAGACAAGGGCAGCACATTACCCTGTAAGATCATGAAGGAATGTTCACATCCTCATCTTTGTACCAGTATCACAGCCTCAGACAACACACTATCCACATTATAACGATGTAAATACACAAGCACTCAGAACATATCTGCCTCCTGGGCACACTTTGCCTCTCCAGTGGTCATAAGCTGATAACGTAGAACAATGCTGTCAACAAGGGAATGTGGCCCTGAGTTTGAACACACACACATGCACGCACGTGCACACACACACGCACACACATGCAGGCACACACACATGCACATGCACACATGCACACACACACTTCTAGTTGAAAATAATCCTACCCACTCATCCTGCTTCTCATGGTTCCCTCACCACTTGTCTTTGATTACTTGGAATCTGTCAGGGATTGTGCAAAAGACATTTGATTCTTGCTGACCCCAGCGTAAAGAATCTAGGGAGACAGTTACCTCTCTCAAGTGCAACAGGAACTCGTAGACAACATTGCCATGACTGCCAGGTGGGGGTTTGGGGAAGACATCCTACCCACAATTTCAGGTCTCGGCAGCATCTTTACTTCATCTGTTTACAGAGAGGCTTTCTGGACTCTCCAGGGAAGGATGGGCTCTAAAAGAGGCAACTGGTCAATCTGTGGATGCTCCCGGGTTCTTCTAGAGCCACGAGAAGTACACCTTCAGGCCCTTTTCTCACCCGAAGTCTTCAACAATCCCTGCATTTTGAGACTGGAGCAAACCTTGAAGGCTCCTCCATCGGAAGCCTGGAGTCCATTCACCAATGAGTTCCCTAGAGCAAGGTGGGGGCCACAGGGGTGTGTGAAGACAGAGGCAGCCATCTGCATGTATGCATGTTTGCGGCTATGTTTTCCTTGTCTGTAACTCTCCCCTGTGCCCTCGCCCATGTATCATGGCACTTCCATAGCCCTGGCCTCGTGTAGATTTGTGCGGCGCTCTTAGTTTTTGTGTGTGTGTAAAATTTCTCCACAGCCTCCTCAGCCTCTTGGGCCTGCCCCAGCTTCCTTTTCTTTGGTATTGCCGAGGGAACTCTGTCAGGAGCCGGTTCCCTCCTAAAAATCATTACAGGAACCATCGCCCTGGGGAGTCTGCAGAGAACCCCACACCCATAATTATGTTAAGAATCGTTCTATAGAAAGGACCTACCCCACCCAATTAAGCTGTTAATGGAGAGCTATCTATTAGCGGAACCCGCCTCACATTCCAGCTATCCAGGGAACTAGGTGTGGCAACTCGTGACTGACCTCCTGGCCTACGTGACCTGACCAAACATAACCTCCTGGCCTACGTGAGGAACCTGAACCACATGATTGGGACCACGCGGTGAGATCCCATGCCCCTGCCCCCCAAACCCTCATCCAGGGGCTATATAAGCAGCAACCAGGACTCTAATAAACGGAGGCTTTGACAAGAACCCCTGCTTAGCCTCCTTCTTCTTTCCTAGCCCATTCTCTTCCAGATAGTACCTCTCCGTGACCCTGGAGTAACTGACTGCCAGGCGGGTTACAATTCCTAGACTCAGTGACCCGCCAAGGCAATCAACAGAACTCAAGGCCCAGTTCATGTGTCTGCTCCACCGAGCTTCAGCCCTGGTCCCAGTGGTCTCATTTAACTGAAAGCCACAGGGCAGACACGGTGCTGTTAAGTGGTGATCTGTCACAGAACGAGAAACACGCCCTTGTTACCTTGCGGAGTCTCAGAATGGATCTTACAGAGGGAACACTCTGGCCATCAGGTCTTCCGGTCCTTAGCTAAGCAGCAATTAGCTTCTTCATCCTGTCATCTTAGGGACACCTTCTCTCCCTCTGCTTCAGGGTCAGTATCAGAGGAGCAGCGCTGAAGGCTGCTATGTGGGTTTCCCGAGAATTCCCCCCGGGAAGACCCGTAAGCTGCTCCGCACACATCATCCTCAGCAGAGACAGCACAGGGTCCCCTAGATGGTCCTGGGATGGTCATGTCACTAGGTCCCCTTCCAGGGTTGAGCTGCCTCTCATGGGTGTCTCCAAGTACTCACATCTTCCTGTAACTCTCACCTTGTCAATGTTGGAACCTGTGAAGATATCTGGGGGGTAGAGCTGTGAAGACATCTGGGGGCGTTGGAGCTGTGACGACATCTGGGGGGTGGAGCTGTAAGACATCTGGGGGTGGAGTTGTGACGACATCTGGGGGTGGAGCTTTGATCTGCAAATGGAAGCTGCTGCATTCTTTCCCCCCTCCTCGGAGAACAGGTTTCGAGTTGTTTAAGTTTGGGTTTGTATTTGTTTCTTGATGTTTCATGCTGTAGATATTATTTTTTGTATCATGTTTTCTATTTTTAATGTATATATTTAGTGTAAATATGTTTGCCCTATTTTTTTGTGCATATTTCATTTAACTGTAGACACTTTCTACCAGCTGCTAAAACCCCTTTTTGAAGTATGAACACATTTTAGGAAATCTATACAGACGTAGAACTTCATGGATTGCAAAGCTCTCCTCTTAGCAGCCCATGGCCACTCCCTTGAGCCAGGCCCATCACGGGTCACCACTGAACACAACTGAGCACCTGTCATCTGTCCTATGTCACTGTTGCTCTAGGACTTCAGTGACGGAAGTCAGTTTGTTCCTCCCTCTGGAAGTCATCATGGCAGCAATATGACCCAACTGGGATGTCGGTCCTTCACACCTCAAAGCCAGCACGATGGTACCACGTCCACAGCTCCTGTGCCCTACTTGAGGCTCTTCAGCGTGCTGCTGTTTCCGACTGGGAAGGCCCTGCTCTTTCTATGTGCTGCTGTTTCTGACTGGGAAGGTCCTGCTCTCTCTCTGTGCTGCTGTTTCTGACTGGGAAGGTCCTGCTCTCTCTCTGTGCTGCTGTTTCCGACTGGGAAGGGCCTGCTTTCTCTTCCGATGTTATCACGGAAGCCTGTTGGATTCCTTTACCCTGGAGCCCAGGATTTCCCAAGAACACACTGGTTCGTCACTGCCAGTCAGCGCCCAGTGTTCCCCCAGGAAACAAGTCCCCAGCATCATCTCACTGACAGAAAGACTGCAGTGATAGCCTCATGTTTTCTTTCTGTCGTTGCTTTGGGTTTTCCTGCTGGTGCTCAGTCGTTTCTCCATCAGGTCCCTGGTGGTCAGCTTCAGCTTGGGGTGCTTTACTCCAATCTCCCTGCAGCTCTGCCTTAGTTTACACGAAGTCTCACCTCTCCCTCTCACTTTCCGCTTCCTGTAAGGCAGTACCTCAGAGTTTCTGCCACATTACGCGTCGCTGTTGGTCTCTCACTTTTGACTACTCTCTCCCGACTTCTGTCTGCCATGTCCACATTTCTCTCATGATGCTTAATGGTGCCCTTCCTCGTTTTCCATCTTTCCTTTAATGGGTCTTCCTTGTTTTTAAAAGAGTCAGTTTCTTGGGGAATATGTCCAATAAGAACTGACATTGCCTGCTGTGCTCCTATCATGCGTGACTTTGTGTGTAGCCTGCGTTGATGTTTTTCTATTAATCAGACATGAAACTTGATTTTGTGAGTTTCTGTGGTCAGAGGATAGTGGTTAGCGTGAACTCACAACTGATCATAGTGCACAAAAGGATTGTCAGTGGAGACTAGTTCACCCACAGGTGGATACAGGTCAGTGGAGACTGGTTCACCCACAGGTGTCAGTGGAGACTAGTTCACCCACAGGTGGATACAGGTCAGTGGAGACTAGTTCACCCACAGGTGGATACAGGTCAGTGGAGACTAGTTCACCCACAGGTGGATACAGGTCAGTGGAGACTAGTTCACCCACAGGTGGATACAGGTCAGTGGAGACTAGTTCACCCACAGGTGGATACAGGTCAGTGGAGACTAGTTCACCCACAGGTGGATACAGGTCAGTGGAGACTAGTTCACCCACAGGTGGATACAGGTCAGTGGAGACTAGTTCACCCACAGGTGGATACAGGTCAGTGGAGACTAGTTCACCCACAGGTGGATACAGGTGTCAGTCAGTGGAGACTAGTTCGCCCACAGGTGGATACAGGTGTCAGTCAGTGGAGACTAGTTCGCCCACAGGTGGATACAGGTCAGCGGAGACTAGTTCACCCACAGGTGGATACAGTCATCACATTCCCAGCCAAGCCTCAGGAATCATTGTTGAAGAGGGTGGGAGACAATAAGAACCAAAGATTGGGGCAGTGGTGGAGCAAGACAGTGTCTCTGGCCAGAAGAACCACCGTCCTATGAATTCCAGCAGCAGTGGTTGCCTCCACAAGGTCTGTACAAGACAAAGCCAGTCAGCATTCTAGTACGGAGTGGTTCGTGGACCTCCACCCCAGCCAGGTTAAGATGCTAATGGCACTTGATGGCTTCTGAAGAAAGGAGTTAGGGTTCTTTATGGGCGTGGTCTCTGGTAGGTCAACTCTGAGCCCATGGATGGTCTCACCCACATCAGTATATGGCCAACTGGATTCTGTCGATTAGGCATGGCGGTGTGCACCTTTAATTTCAGCACTCAAAGCAGAGGCAGAGGGATCCCTGTGAGTTCAAGAACAGCCTGATCTACACAGCAAGTTCCAGAACAGCATGGACTACATAATAGAGACCCTGTTTCTAAAACAAGAAGAAGAAGAAGAGAAAGGAGGGAGGAAGAAAGGAAAGAAAGAAAGGAAGAAAGAAAGGAAGGAAGGAAGGAAGGAAGGAAGGAAGGAAGGAAGGAAGGAAGGAAGAAAGGAAAGAAGGAAGGAAGGGACCAGGAGTTGAAATGGGGCAGATCTGGGAGGAGTTAGTGGTAGGAGCTGTAAGGGTGAATATGTTCAAATGTATTTATAAAATTCTCATATTGCATTAAATTTTATACTTGAAATGAGTGATAAGGAATGCATTCAGTGTTGACTCAGCCTCTCAATGCTGTTATAACTTCATTCGTGGCTGAAGGCTTGACTAGGTCCCTCCCCAAGGCCAGAAACAGACATTTATGGGGAGTGGCTCCTGGGCTTCTTCAGCGTGTCTGTCAGAAGGAAGTAAAATGTCTCATCTTCAGTAAAAGGCACGAAATGCTCTGATTTGTGGAGTGATAACATTGATGGCATGCCATTTTTCCTTATGATACAATCGATGGCCCTGAAATTATAGTCATACATATCAATGTGTAGATTTATTTCTGTGTGCCTTACCCACTTGTATAACGTCTTATGAATGAATGTTATTTCAAAGGAGAAGGCTCGGGGTCAGGTGGAAGACACCCACAGGCCCTCCTGGTACTGGTACCACTGTAATGAGGAACTCTACCGTGGAGAAGGGGGAGAGAGGCAGAGTGGTTCCTGCACTGTGGAGAGAGGCGGGACTGAAGAAGCCGAAGTGAAGGAGATGAGGAAGGGGTTGATATGGGTGGCCTGTTCTGCTCCCCAAGACCATGGTGGCGACAGGGCCCAGGCACGTCTGGGTCCTTGGTCCAGCTGCAGCTGGGGGCTGTGTCATGTCCTTGGCTTGTGTTACCACCAGGAGGCCAGGCAAACCACAAACCACGCGTATTGAAATCCAAGGACCCTGCTGAGCCAGCCCTGCCTTTCATTGGGAGATCTGGCCCTGCCCCTCGCCTGAGGTGGGTGGTGTAGCAGGAAAACAGGCCCACACTTCACCGTGGGTGCAGGAGAGCTGGCTCCGCCCCTCGCCTGAGGTGGGTGGTGTAGCAGGCTTTCTCGCACCACCCAACCATGACGCGGAAACTTAGTATTAGTTATGAATGCTCGGCCTTATCTGACGCTTGTCCCAGCAGCTCGTATAACTAAACTAACCTGTTTTTCTTCACCTACATTTTGCATTGGGGCTTCTTACCTTTTTTTTTCATTCTGTATGTCCTCCTCTGTGTTTGGCTGACTGGTGCCTCCCTGGCTGACCCTGGGAGTCTCCCTCTCTTCTCCCTCATCCTCTCTTCTCTCTTCTTCTCCTGAACCTAAGACTCCTACTTATTCTCTCTGCCCACCAGCCCTGCCTATCCCTCTGCTGCCTAGCTATTGACTCTTCAGCTTTTTATTTGACCAATCAGGTAACTTGGGCAGGCAAAGCAACACACCTTTACATCATTAAACAAATGTAACACAACTTTGCCCAGGTAAGGTGATATTCCACAACAGGGCGGTTCTGGTGGAAGACCGAACTGACCAACTCAGCTGCCACTCGGGCCCACATTGAGTATTTTGAGTTGGTTCACCCCAATATCTGCTCCATCTATAACCTACTGGGGTGCATAAAGGGACTGGTCCTGTGGAACCAGAGGTGCGGGATCTCCATGACTCAGGGCGACAGCAGGATACCCAAGAGGAGTTTCCGTGGGGGTCTAGTATTGATGGTGCACCAAAACCAGAGGCCTTGAGCCAGCCCCACAACTCATGACAATCAACATTGGTAAGTAAAGCTGAATGGACAGAAGAGTCCACTGCGAGACACACCGCAGCTCCCAACGCCACTAAGACAAATGAAGAGGTGATGGAGAGGCCAGAAAGACTGAGGAACAAAACGGTTTTTTGTTTGTTTTGTTTTTAATTTTCTTTTGGGGGACACTGCAAGGGTGAAGGGCAGATATGGAGGGACTGGTAAAACAGTGGGATTGGGGGATGTGGTATGAAATTCCCAAAGAATCAATAAAAAATGATGCTAATTAAAGGAAAAGGCTCACACCAGTTTTTCTGATTGCACTTTGTCTGTGTGATGGCTTCCGGAATTGTCTTACTGCCCTGGTAGTAAAAGTCCATTGTGTCCTGAGACAGAAGACCGAAAAACCAGGTAGTGCATGAGAAAAACACATTTATTCCTAGCTCTAGCGTCTGGAAAGTCTGGAATCAAAGGGCCAGCATGAGCAGTCTTGACTATATTGTCCTCCCATGGTGCTTCCAGACAAGACAGAGCAGGCTCAATCTGCCTTTGCCTCACCTCCATCTCCCCAACAAGGAACCCACATCCACAACATCCATTCATGACTGCAGCACCACCAGCGCGATCCCCCTGAAACACCCCGTGCCTTGGTCTGTAGCACTGAGGATTATGATTCTAACACATGCACCTTG